GATGCATCTAACAAAATGGATTTATAGAAACTGGAGGTTCAATCTCAAGAAAATTGATGTAAAAGAAGCAAATTGACATACCTCTAGAGCTTCACTTCTTATGACTTTTCCCAGATTTCCAAAAACTCGGCAAATATATCGCTGGAACATATGGGCAACCAAAAAACCGAACAAGGTTTTGGCAATCTTTTTCTGCTGATTCTTCACTACCCGTCGCACTTAGATGACTCAAGTAGGTTTTTCCCTTGTATATGTAACAAAGCTGTTGCCACAAGAGCACGCTCAAACCAATCTCCATTGAAACACTAGCGATAAACAGGTAAACAAGTAGGAGTCCTCTTGCTGACAGAAACACCGCTGATGTCAGGAAAGCAAGAACGATATCTTTTAAGGCTTTGAAAATAAATTCACTGTTAGCAAAGCTATTCAATAAGTTAACCGGCGTATGGTTTAATGGTGGGGAGATATAAAGTGCAGAGTATGTTGACGTGATAGTGACATAAATCAAACTGATGACTGCAGACATGAGGAAGAGAATGAAATCCCGGTGATTTGCTACGCCAACACAGTTCCCGATCTGCTTATGACCAAAAAAGATAAATATTATATTGGAATTGCCTGAATAAAATATAACAGTGATAGTATTCCTGCCAAAATCTTCCAATTTCATGTTTGTCTCTTTTCATTAATGATTTGCAGCATTGTGAAGTAATTAATAGGTTGGTAATAATTCACAAACACCTCAGTTAATTTAACAAAGTACATAACAGTAGCTACTGAACATATTAATCAAGCACAAAAGCTACGGCCTCAGGTCTTAGTTGAGGGAGCTCGACAAGATAAAATTCTTGGGCTAGGAATGTACGTATGAAATATCCAGCACAGAACATCCTGGTGCCTCTTTGATTCCTTTATTTCTCCTCGTCAGTTGTTTATTGTTTCGTAAGGGTTTGAGATCAGCATTGTCCAATCTTCTTTGAGTTTAACTTACCAAGATTTAGCTTCTCTTTGATTCCTCTATTTCTCCTCTTCAGTTGTTCATTGATTCATTAGAGTTTGAGGTCAGCATTGTCCAATCTTCTCTAAGTTTAACTTGCCTAGATTAAGCTTCCATTTTGCATTAAGAAACAGAATATCCTGATAAAAACTGAGTTTATGCTATGTAGATGGTTTGGGGGAAACAGCAAATTTCTCCAGACAAAACTGACTTTTTTGCACGATTGATGTCATTGCTAAAATGTACCTACTTTAAATGAAGGTCATTCTCACCATAAGAACGCAACAATGCAAAAGAAAGTGAATCCATAATTTCAAAAATATGCAGTCATCAAAGGAGAAATTTCACAAAGAAATAGCTCAATACACCAATCAATCAACTTCATACCATATCATACAATTCAAAGTGGAGGCAATTTCGTGCTATCAGCAGTGTATGGATATGCATGCGCTCTTCAGATCAGAAATAGCTTATAATCGTCATTTACAATAATAAGAATTAATGCGCATGAAAAGCTTCATTACAGATTACAAACATTGCTTTTTATATTCTAAATTAAGGCCACAATGTTACTGAAGTGCAACATTTTAGTTGGGAACGATGTGAATACTTACAAATGGGCAGTGATGATCCATGTCCAATATACACATTCCGCATGAACGGCAATGGTGTGTCCTTGGTGATTTTGGCTTTGATCAATAGTGACAGAAGGTGTAGTTCTCCAGTCCACCTTTCCCCACAGTGGGATAGCTACCCCACAGTATAATTGGTGGAGCACCAGCAGGTCGAAATGCCGCTAAGCAAAATGTAGATAAAGTAGATATAGACAAGATTACAGCAACTATTAAGTGAAAAACACCACAAAAGAAACTGATGGAAAAGGTGATAGGATAAATTGCCCAAATGCCACCACCTGTACAACAAGAAGAAGAATATAGTGAATATTTATATCTATCAAACAGAAAAAAGCAAAAACCCTGTAAATTAAGAGGGGGTTTTGGTCAATAGAAGAAAGATTCCATATCCAACTGCAGGACCTCAAGGCATGCTTATTTAAATTTTCTTCTTTCTGTCTGTGGAAGACAAACTCCAAAAAACTAAACAAGCCAGTTTTAACATAATGTCGTAAAACCAAGTATCAATACAAGAACTGAAGATAACTTCATCGTCGTAATTGACACCGTTGGAGCTTATGTTAGTTTTACCTCAGATACAAGTGCACATGGCTACATGTCCAGTATCATAATTGTCGAAAAATAACAAATTATGCTTTAAATGAAAGCTTTGGGAGTCCATCCAGTCAAAGTATTCAGTGCACAACCCGCATATGACATAACATAGGCTGATATTCATGTTTAGAAACTGAAGAACTGTACATGGTCACAGGTCCAAGACAAATTTAGGACAAGTTATCCTTAATTTAATCTTCTATTACTCGAATATAATTAGGAAAAGTCTTGTGATTGTTTATCCTAGAAAGACTACTCCATTGCCTACCTAAAACTATTACATCTAAATGTCTATGACGTCCAAAATACAAGGGAAATCCCGCTCTTTTCGTTTTTTCTTTATCTGAGCACCACCCATTATTCTTAATTTATTGACTGCATTTAGAACTTGACCAAATTTTATTTCTATAAACATCTATTTTCTTGGATTAGAAAAACTGCTCTAACAGTCTAGTCAAGATTCGCACTAGAGACATTAGTGAAGCATATCACTAAGGAAATATGTCTATTCCATTTTTTTCATCAAACAGATTAATCAAAATGAATTCCATGCACAACTTGGGGAGCAATAAATGGAATCTTCAACTACGTAGATTGAATTAATCGATGCTTACATATAAAGAATAGCTTAAATAGAAGGACGACACTGACAATACATCGGTCTCGTAAGCGTCTCCACTTGAAGCACTGGTTTTCACATTTCAATGTGTATTGCTTTGTTATAGCTCCACACCAGCCACATTTGAAAACATCTGTACATGGAGAAACAAGAACTTGGAGCCCACAACCCCAGCATGTTTTCTCATGATCCACATCCACAGAAGTTGAACAATCCTCCTGTAAATCAGCATGTCAAGCAACCAAACCATAAATGTATGTATGTCACTAGGCTTGGTTGTAAAACTGCATGTTTATAGCGGGTGGGAGTGGGGGGAAGGGAAGAAAAGGACAGCACAATATTATAATGCTATAGCATCTGAACTTCCAGAAACAAGAAGCATAA